ATATATATATATATATATATACAATTTAAAGTCCTGTATTTCTAGGTGGCATACATTTAATTAGTTCATTTTAATTCTATCAATGTTTCCTGCACCATTGTTCAGTGCCACAGTAAAACAAATCATATTACGTATTATGATTTTACATATTATTTTCACTTGTGAATGTTCAGTCTAAATTGAGTGTAATGAGTAAAAGTGTCCAGTACTGTTAAAAAAAAACCCTCTCCAGCTGCCCTAAACATATTTCTGCTACTTTAAGTATTTCTTTTCAGTCTAGCTGAATACCATGTACACATTTGAATTTTGAAAATTGTTGATATAGAACACGCAGTCCATAAAGGTGAAACAGTACATGCAAAGTATGCATTCTTGCCATATAATAGACAAAAGACTTCTTGTCATTTATGAAGTAAACTTTGTCAGAAAATATGCTTGCCGTTTAGCCATATTAATATTTGCCTTATAAAACCATGGAAATGATCTAAATCTATGCATGGATTTCTGATCTCAGCGTAGTCTTCTGTTATGCATATAGTATTGTTTTCATTATCCAGGAGATCAAAATAAGCAAATTTGGGGCATATAGGATAAAGACGAGTGATTTTAGTCAGCTGTGTCTTTGTATTACATTGCCCATTGCCCAGTTTTTGGTTTGGGGAGGGTTGCTGAAAGGCCAGTCGATTGTGAGCCATTGCGTGCAAGCTTGATGTGGGTTTCTTTATCTGATTATCAAATGAGCCTCTTCATTGCATTTTGTTTCATATATGCAAAAAAAACTCTCCTTTGTATTACGCTGCCTGTCTGGCCCTCATTAGGTTTGGTTTTTAGCAGGATTCCTGTTTTGTTTAGCGTCACATTCAGATTCAGATGATAAGAGTTTTTTTATTGTTCCGGACTGAAGCTGCTTTTCATATTAGTATTGTGAATCACTTGTTCCTGACAATCTTTTTTTTACCACTCTCTCCCTCCTTCCCTCTGCCATTCTCTCGTTTTCTCCTGGTAGAGCCGTACCTAACCCATCACTCAGTCAGTCACGCTGCTGATCTAATTTGCTGTGGCTGCAGTAGCCAAGTTGCTATTGTAGTTAATGACTGTTTCAGTTAACAGTTTGGGAGAGGGTTGCAATTACGGAGTGCGTTTCCCCCTCTTCTCACAACGTGAGTAATAGCAAGTGACTGCCGTTCTTGCCAATTGCCCGCACTCCTTTGTTAAAAGTTCATGTATTTCTCTAGTGCCAAGTGCATTGGAATGATGTATTCCTTTGAATGTGGCTCCATTACTCCTGCAGTCTTTGAGTGTAGGCCTTGACTCCCATTATGATTTCCCAACAACTTTCCACACGCAATTAATGAACAGGTCTTGGAAGCATTTTGTCGCACGCGCGCACTCACACTCGTGCCGGCTGTAATGGAATTGTGCTAGCTGCTTGGTCTCTTTGTCTGCAGAGAGCATATTGGTGACCAGCTGGCCAATAAAGGCTCAGACAGGCCCTGACATATGCAGTGTACATTATATTGAGGTATTTACTGAATAATTTACGCTATACACACTGTCTGCCTCCTCACAGCAGCTGCGAAGCCACTTGCAGGATCTCAGATTCAGCCAATTGTTTTCTCCAAAGAGAACGTTTGTGGAAACCCGAGCCACACTAAATGGAGGCATTATTTCTTGTGTTTTGAGTATGAAGTGAGTGTTTTGTGGGTTTAGAGGTCTGGTGCAATTGCTGCTCGTTCTCAGTGTAAAATTGTTGGAATTGCTGTTGACGTAGGCTGTGGTGGCATTCCTGCTTTATTTTTGCTTTATTTCAGACCTCTTAGCTATTTTATTCATAGTTATAGTTCAAAGATCACTTGAGCACCATGGCTAAATGTAATTTCTAACCATGTGCTTCTACAGAAGATTTAAAAATTCATGTGATATTCAGTGCATCCATGATCACATATAAACTCAGTTTTATAATAAGTAGTTTTTCTTTCTTTAAAGGGATAGGTCACCCAACAATACAAATTCTGCCGTCATTTACTTGTTGTGAATCCCATATGGTTTGCTATGTATCAAGTTTTCTGTAGCCATATGACTGGTTTGTCTAGGGACTGAATATTGAAAATATCTGAAAATATTCCCCTCTGTCATATAGCATTGAAACACACATTCAAACTTGTGATGTATGAACCAAGCAACCAGGTTTGAATGTGCATTCTGAGAAACATCTCCTTTTGTGTTCCACAGAAAAAGAAAAATCTCACTAGTTTGGAACAACATGAGGATAAATAAAGGCAGAATTAAATTTTTTGAGTTAACAGTTTCTTTAAATATGTTTTTAGAGAAATTGTAACAACAAATCGTATTTCAGTTCTCTTATTAATACTAATACGCTAATCTGAAAGGACAAGTTTGTACCATCATTACTATTTAGCAAGGAAAACTTCAGCGTCTGTTATTTTGTAAGTAGTCACCTAATGAGACAGGCGAAGGCTGTAAGAGAAAGAAACATGTAACAGCTCTTAAGCAGAAAGTGGAAAGGCTGTTTCTATGAAAGGAGAGCCCTGGAACTGTGCGCCGGAGAGCCAACAGTCGGCAGCTAATAATATCTGCTGATGTTAATCTAATTAGAGATGATTTAACACTTTACAGAGCATGATTTATAGAGGCGTTTATTGGTTTTCTGTAACATAATCAGTTTGGAAACTTAATGCATTGTTTGGGAATGCATGTGTGACTGGAAACAGGGGGAGAGCAACTTGTGCTCTGGGTTATTTGAAATGATACCCCCATTAATAACACCAACTCTGGCCCTGCTAGGGCTGTTTTTCTTGAGCTTTCTCTAATCCTCGGGACCAGCACAATCTGACAATAATTCAATCTTCAGAGAGGGAGGAAAATGAGCTGTATTTAGTAAGATTAGTGAGGACAGTAGTGTCTAGCCCTCCTGCCTCCCAAATGAGCAGGGGTTTTTTTCCATCTTGTTGATTGTTTGGAGAGTTTCATAGAGCCAGCGTTTCAAACCCATGCTAATGGAGGTTAAGAGACCCTGATTTGATATAAGAGCAGACGTAGGTGATTAATCTTATACAAATAGAGGTGTCTTATATTACTGATTGAGCTGAAGGCTAAATCAAAGAGAAAACCACAGCGTGTTGATCGTCGGTAATGCTTTCAAACAAACAGATACGTCGGTTTGCGCTGGATCTCGACTAAAGCTGCCGTTTCTTTGCTCGTGTAGTTCTGGTAATTGTTTTGGGTGTAGTCTTATCTTCATGTGTGTGTTTTTGGATGCAGTCACCCAGTTGCAGATGACCCTGGCTTCAGTGCAGGAGCTGCTGGTCCAGCAACAGAAGAAAATACAGGAGCTGACACAAGAGCTGGCTAACTCGCAGGTAATCACACGACACTTGCCACAATGGTAAACAGGGGGGGGATAAAAATATGATGATGTAAATTCTGTCATAATTTACTCACGCTCGTATCATGTTGTTCTAAACCCATAAGACTTTCTTTCTTCTATGAACCACAAAAAATGATATTTCACAGAAAGTCCAGTATACTCTTTTTGATGATAGACAGCCCCATAAAAGTAGTCCATATGACAACTTAGGTGATGTTACACCTAAGTATCGTCTCTTATGAATCTTAAGGATCTAATGAAGTCAAACAATATTTTTATGTGAATAACAAGGCAAAATTTAAGTTATTCACTGATAATATTCCCACAGCTCTTAAACTTTATTAAAGGGATGGTTCATTGCGATTTCACTTTTTTAACGTTAGTTAGTGTGTAATGTTGCTGTTTGAGCTTAAACAATATCTGCAATGTTAAGAAGCTGAAAGTTCTATGCAAACAGAGATATCGTCTTTTACAAGTCTGGCAGTTTAATGCCTACAAAAATGGCTGGTAGGGACTACCAACAAGTTACGGGTTTGTGACGTAACAAATCCAGATAAACCCCGCCCCCGGGAAAAGGCAGCAAAGGGGGCGAGGCCATGCTGCGCTGCTTTCGAGAAGAGGAAGAGATACACGGTACATGCAGTTGCTGTACTGTATTAAAGTTTTAATCAGGATAAAACCGTATATTAAAAGCTAACATAAGCAGTAGCATTTACAAATAACTGCGTATCTAAAAGTGTGAGACAACAACAAACAAAAAACATAGGCCTACCATTAAAGGCCGTGCTTGCCCAGGTTCTGCACGATCCTCTTCAATAATATCCTCTGCTTCTCAATCGGGCTCAAACTGATAAGCGATAGTAACGACGCCGATGTTTACAATACAACCGGAGCACATGTCGCTAAGGTGAGGGGCGGGATGTTTAGACGCGCACTAGAGGCAGTTTAGCCAATCACAACACACTGGGCTAGCTAACCAATCAGAGCCCATCTGCCTATTTCTGAGGGTGGGGCTTCATAAAAGCAGGAAATGATCAGCGCGTTTCTCAGAGAACTGCACCCCATAAACACAATCAAGCCTAGAAAAAAAACAGTGAACCACCCCTTTAAATTCAAATAACATGCAGGAATGTTGAATTAGGTTTGACGTCAATTAGACACAAAAACTTGTGTCATTTGACATCATTGACGTTAAACCTGGTTTGTTTATTTTTTTAATTAAATGTAAGTGCAAATGAGATTTGAGAGATGCAGCAGAGGGCAAAGTGTCCAGTAAATAACACCTTTAGGTCTGTTCTTCTCACATAAAGCCTGTTGTATCTACATTTGTTAAAAAAAAAAGGATTTGGAACAGAATGAGGGTGACTAAATGACATCTCTGTTTTGTTTTGGGTGAGCTAACCCTTTACAGTTTGTCAAGTAGTGCTGTAGTTGCAGTAAGTTTCCATATGGGGAGACAAAGCAACATTTTGGTTTGATTCAACAGAAGTGACTGGAAAAAAACATCATACAATCTGAACATTCCTCCAGTTTCTGTCGTTCCTGTCGTTACAGACTATATGTAAGGAAAGAATGTGACCTGAATCCTCTATGATGCATGTGAGAGCCGAAAACATTTTTTTCATTTTCCTGTCTGTGTTTTTTTGTTGTATAGACATCATCAGAGTACATAATTCCATGTACATTACGTAAGCACTGTTAAACTGCGTAATCAACAGGTCAGAAATGTAGAATTTGCCGTTCATCCTCTGAAATACCTTAGATATAGAGAGTGCAGCTAAAAAAAAACTAAAGGAATTTGGTTATCTATAATGGTTGCATTCCTCCCTGGTTATGTCATTTCTCTCAGAGATATTATGAATAGTCTTCACTGGTTTGTTGATCTGTTGAGTTTAAATGCAGCCTTCAGTGTGCATTTTCCTAAGGACCTTTGCGGCGCTCGGTTTCAGGGGCGCAGCCTCTATAAAACAAGGCCACTTTGAGTTTAAAACAACACAGGGCATTTTTCAGTGACACTGAGACTGATGCCTCACCCTGATGTAAATATTACTGGTGACAGAACTCATATGCCGCTCAGAAGAGAAAAATGTGCATCAGCAGGACAAGGCATGTCATGGGAGCTCCATAAAGAATGTGTACGGCCATCTCCAGAACGCTCAAGCAAGCCATCCCGGGACAGGACGTGAACCCACGCTGACACCCCCTCCTGATCTCTTCTTTATCTGTCATTTGCTTTCTGCTAATTTCATCTGGGCTGAAACATCATTTAACCCCCACCCATACGGCAACTAGAAAAGATGGACCAGTAGGATTTCCTTTGAGCCCCAACTTAGAGGCCTGGCAATTAAAGAATTACAAAGGAAACGTTTATTGTTCATAAATAATTATTGAAAAGGGAATGTTGCCTGTATAGTTAGTTTGTATATATTTTGTATGTTGTTCATAATTAATAGCTTTTAAATTTAGCTGGTTTATGAAGCTGCAGGGTTGTGTGATGGAGGACTTCCCATCATATGTGGCAGCACATAAACAGTAAATCACAGGTTAAACGTGTTAATATATATAAATATATAAGTAGTAATATATAAATATAAATAATTTTACTGTAATATAAACTAAATGTTTTTAAATATAAAACAAATATATTTATTAGAAGAATATATATTATTAGTTATTTGAAGTAGTAAATATATAGATTATATAGTAATTAGTAGTAAATATGTAGAATATATTGTCATTTTTATTGGTTAAAAATGATTGGTTTTCACTTTTGAGAAAATAAGCTTAAAAGCTAAATTAATGGATGGATTAATTTTCTATAATATAAACAAATATTTTTTAAAATATTAAACAATTAAAAATGTATGTGTGTGCGTGTGTGGTGAAAAATGTAAGGGGGTCTGAATACTTTCCGTACCCACTGTACATGCATTAAGCGGTGGAAAAACGCATCAGAGAGGGAAGCAGTGAATCAATTTGCATTCAGATGTTTCTTTTCTTAACTTGCCTTTCTTAAGGCTTCTTAACGTTATCTGTTGTTAATGTTCTGCAGACATTTGCTTTAATGTATTCCATGTCTGACTGCTGTTTCGGTGTAAGTACATGCATATATACCTCTCTTGTATGGTACGCTCCACCTCCTTAAATAATTACCCAGACTGAGGCAAAGCTTTGTTCACACTAAAGAGGGTGACAGACCCCGATCACACTGCGCTGACCCCTCTGACTGGATGGCTGCTCACACAGTCAAAGACATGCAGAGAAAGGCCTTTAGCAGCAATTAAACAGTCATCACTATATGTGTGTGCGCGCGCGTTCGGCTCCTGAAATGAAGAATTGCAACCGTGGAACTTTAAACACCGCCGGCTGAGAGGTGCTTTGTAGCCTCTGTTAAAATATTATTTAGATTTTATGTCCGAGAAGTGTAAGCTAAGCCTCCGAAGCAATTAATTTTTTTTCCCCGTTACAAAGTTAAAATGAGCAAGAGGTACATTCCAGCCTTATTATACTGGGTGCCGTAGGGAGTGTGGGCTTAAGATGGCCATAATGAGGTGAGGCCTGTAATAAGAGTGTCTTCACCAGGCCTAATGCGCTCGGCTCGGATCAGATGTGACCTCTTCGAAAACGGTGCACTTATCTGAGGGCTTTAGGTGCAGAAAGGAGACAAAACCACTATCCCTCCCCAGCCCTCGCTGTAAATTAGTCTGATCCTTTTCAGATGTGATTCAATTAATTTACTTTAGATTTAATTACATGTGGAAGAGTCCAAGTTATCCCTCTCCTCTCGATAGGGGGTCTCTGCCTTCTAACTAGCCGCCCCCGGTGACTCCGATGTTCTTAATTACACTTTTATTTTCCTTTTCCCCCAAGCCCTTTTATCACTTCCTCTTCCTGCTCTCGTTTTTCCCCCCTCAGCGGGCAGAAGAAGTGGAATGGGATTATGGGGTAGATGTGGGCTGTTTGTTTGTGGACGCTTCAAAGAGTCAGTGGCCCCGTGTAGCCGCTTGAGAGCCCGGGTTAATCTGTCAGAACATTTTGAAAATTGAAATATAGAGGTGCTGCAAATCACTTGAAGAGGGTTTCTTTTTCTAAATCGACATTACCAACCTCCTGTCTATTTGGGGAGAAAAAAAAGGATGGATTGATTTTTTGGGGGCTTTTTTTCCCCTTGAAGTCATTTGCTATTCAAATGTTTGCTGGCCACTTCAATTGGCCATCACTCCCTTCAGCAATTCATCCCATGGCAAGCAGTTGGAGATAAGGCTTCTTTTAATAAAAACCTCCCTGACTTAATGAATACTGCCATTGTTGTGCCAGAGACCTCTTATCAAACACCTCTGTCCTGCTCAAATCAACAGTCTGCAATATGGAAAAATATGGAAAAATGGCATGATTAATTCCCTTAGCCTTTTTTAAAAAGATCCTGACCTTCTGGGTGGAGAAGATACAGTAGCAGGGACTCGTCAGTGTAGTTGTGGTTTGATATCAAGACTTTGAAGACTTCCATTGTCTCATATTTGCAGTTTGAATGCATAAAATTATTGTGTTCATTGAGTGACTGACAAATCAAATTAGAACAAGTCACACTTTAACAGAACGCTGATGTTTGTGAGGTTTTTGCATATGCTGCATACTAATATAACAGGTTCTGGTAAATAAGGCCTGATATGGTAGAGCTTTCACATTCTGGGGCAGACCTTCACCTTTAACGACAGTAGAGGATAAATACATTTTTAAACCCCAGATAAAGGTCAGTTAAGCAACATTTTAAAAGATAACCATGACTACGTTTACAGAGGGTTCAGAATGATCATTGGTTAATGGTTTGAGGTGTGGAAAGCCTATAGTAGTAAATAAGAAGTGTTTTTAGATTTGTTTTCAGAACGAAAAGGAGGATGATGATGATCACTTGTAACTTTGTCTCTACAGGCCTCATCTGCCACCAACCGCATGCTGGAGTCTCAGAGCATCAGTGAACTCAAGGCTGAGATTGTGTCTCTGAAGGGTCTTCTTCTCAGCAGGTAACTTTTCACTTTTTTTTTTATAAATCTGTAACAATAGATGGCATATTTGAATTGACAGGGACAAAATGTGGCAATGAAGGATGTTCATTTAGAATGTTGTGTATTTGGGTGTCAATCTGTCCGCTCACTAAACATTAAAAATGCTTTTCCACAAAAATAAATAAATAAATAAATATTACATGTGACCTTGGACCTATTTTCTGATACACAACAGTTTGACATACTGAACAAACTATATTTTCCTCCCACACAGCCTAGTTTTTGTTAGTGCAAAACAGAGGTGTAAAGTATTGGAGTAAATGTAATTAGTTACTGTACTTGAGTATCTTTTTGGATACTTTGTAGTTGTAGATATTAGCAACTTTTACCCTTTACTTCACTACATTATTGAATGAGTATCTGTACTCTTTACTCCACTACATTTGAAATGAGTGTTGCAGTTACACATTAAATTTTGCATGGACCTAGCTTTTTCTGCAGCAGTTTATTTCTGCTACAAAAG